GAGAGAGAGAGAGAGAGAGAGAGAGAGAGAGAGAGAGAGAGAGAGAGGCAGGAAGGTCCTGACCTGCTGCTCCAACCCACACAAGGTTGTTTCTGCACAGGCATGCTCAGCTGCCTCTTCCCCAGCCCCCTCCCCATTCTTGCCGACAGGAACTGGGTTTATATTTGCACTCCAGCCGGCCCCTGCAGCCTCTCAGAACTGGGCTGGGCGGGCAGCATTCCTAGGCTAGCTCTTTGCAAACAGGTTCCAGTCCAGACTCACAGCTCATTTATCAGCACCCCCTTCATATGAGACCTCTTCTAGATCTGCCTCCGTCTGTCCTTCTTCCCAAAGGAGGAACTCCTCTATGGGTCTAGACCTGGACTTCACTGTCTATGAGAAGACAAACTGGGGATAGAAAGGAATGCTGGTGTGACAGATAGCTTACCCCGGTGTTCATCCCTGACTCCCTCCAGGATCTTTGGAGTCTAGCATGCCTGGAGGTTGCCTCTCTGGAGCGAGCCATCATGAGCTTGTTTCCAGGGTCTATGAAGGCCCCTCAGTGTGGCTGGGTTGACAATCTTGGATGCTATCGGCCCACAAGACATGATTCTCAGTGTAGGAAGGGCTGGTGGGGTTCCATGGGGGACCACAGCCTGTGTTCCCAGTTTTCCCGCTCTGCCTTTCTAAGACCTCAGCAGACTGAGCTGCTCAGTCTACCCTGCTTACCCTTGGGTGTTCCTGCACCTAGGGTCATTGCTATTGTATTATCAGAAGGTGAGCTGCCTGAGTTGAAGGTGTCAGAGCCACATGTGAGAACTTCTTCCTTGAAGAGGAGGGTAGTGGGGGGTCATTTAGCTCTCTAGGATGGGGACCCAGGACAGTAGGACTCCTGCCAAACCCAGGCTCACACCCTTTTCTGATCCTTTTCCAGCAAACTGTGGTCACAAATGTGCCCCCCGAAGATCAGGATGGCTCTGGGGATGACTCTGACAACTTCTCTGGCTCAGGTGCAGGTGAGGTTGGCACTCTTGGAACCCTTATCCCAGATGGCAACAGGCCATTTACTGAGCACTCACTGCAGGCAGTGCTGGAGGACAAACCAGGGCCCATGCAGCAAAGGAGAAAACCTGCTTGGGGGTGAGGTGAATGCGTACGGTTCTGGTAGGCCTTAGGAGCTACCTGCCTCAGACTTACTGAAGTTGATACTTATCTTTACTCACTGGGCACCCTTGGGAAGGTGAATTGACTTCTCTGAGCCTGTTTTTTTTTTTTAATCTGTAAAATGGGAGTAATAACCTGGACCTCATAAGGTTGTAGGGAATGGTACGGCAGCACAGAACCTGGAGGAAGTGTAGATCGCCAACACATGTCCTCATCATTTTGCATCTTCCAGTCCCCCAAGGGAGAGAGAGCACTGAGCTGGAGGTGGTCAGGGAGGCCTCCCAGAGGAGGTGGCTCTTGAGTTGGACCTTGAAAAATATCTGTGAACTAGGAACAGAGGACCAAGTCCATCTTGATGGGGAAGGTAGACTAAGCACAGGTGAGAGAGCTGGCAGGTAGGATACAGGTCTCTAGGCTTGGGAGCTTAGGCCTTTCTGGGGAGAGGGGGCACTTGGGGAAGGGAGGGGTGTTAGAAACATGTATGTACTTGTACCTCTGAAGATGCCTCCCACCCAGGGAGTGGTCATCATCACTCAGGGAAAGACTTTTGTTTCCTTGGTGTCTTTCTCATGGTTCTAGAAGTGGCTCTTGAAGTGGAAAAGGATACTTTTCCCTTTCCATCTCCAAAGTTGAGTTTCACCGTAGCCAGTTCCACCCCTAGGTATGCAGCTTGGCACGACAGGGAGAGTTGACCTGGGAGTCAGGGTCAGGGACCTTACCTAGGCATCCTCTTTCCTCATGTTCACTTGCAGCCTGGGCTCAGCTAGCCTAGATGCTCTTGTGCCTCCCCCACCTGACAAGCTCTGCTTCTGGCCCTGCAGGTGCTTTGCATGATATCACCTTGTCTCTTCGGACCCCCTCTACCTGGAACGACATGTGGCTCCTGACGACCACACCGACTGCTCCGGAGCCCACCGGCACAGAGACCATTGCTGCCTCTGTCTTGTCTGCTGTAGAGCAGCCCGAGGAGGGAGGTTTGGTGCGCCTGATGGAGGAGGAGACCTCCCACCCACCCAGTGAGACCACAAAGCACCCAACCACCCACCAGGTCTCAACAGCAAGAGCCAGCACGGCCCAGGCACCCACCACCACTGATGTCCCCAGGGACAGACAGCCCGGCCACCATGAGACCTCAGCTCCCATAGAACACGACCACTTCCACCCTCATGCTCCCAGCTTGGAGGAAGGGGGCCCTTCTGCCACCGAGAGAGCTGTTGAGGATGGAGCCTCCAATCTGCTCCCAGCAGGAGAGGGTTCTGGGGAGCCGGTGAGTACCTGCCCACTGCTGTCCTCTGAATTTCCTGGGGCACAGGGTGGCCCTTAGTGTCTGGTTGAGCATGATGAATGCAAGTGGGGGCTGTGGTTGTCAGCAAGCCCAGTATCCTGTGTCCTATGAGCCTTAGTGGGTACCTTAGTACCCACCAAGAAGATAGGGTCTCAAGTCCTGGCTCACACCCTAGCCATGGGGACTAGCCCAGACCCAGGGCCAGAAAAACCAAACCAAATCCACTGCTGTCAAGTTGATTCTGACTCCCAGCAACCCTACAGGGTAGCGCAGAACTGCCCTCATGGAGGGCAGTAATCTTTACAGAAGCAGTCGGCCACAGCTTTTTCCCATGGAGCAGCTGATGTGTTCCAATTACTGACCTTTCTGTTGGCAGCCAAGTGCTTTAACTGCTGTGCTACCAGGGCTCCTTTGAGGCCTGGGGTGTGCCAGACTAAATACAAGACCAGCATGGAAGGGTACTGTCTTCATTTCCTTATTTCCTTTGTAAGCTCCTGTAATAAAGTATCACAAACCAGGTGACTTGTATGGTCTCAGTTCTGGAGACTAGAAGTCTGAAATCAAGGTGTCATTCAGGGCTCTGCTCCTTCTGAAGGCTCCAGGGAAAGATCCTGGCCTCTTGATGGTTCCTGGGTGGTTTCTGGTAGCCCTTAGTTTACAGATGCAATGCTCCTCCATTCTCTACCTTCATCTTCCTATGGCCGTCTTCCCTGTGGCTCTTCTCTTTACATGAGGATGTCACTCCGATTAGATTAGGACTCAGCCTACTCAAGTCCTGGTGTGGCGCTGTGGGTTAATGTGACAGACTACAAAGCCATTTGAACTGCAAGGTCAGCAGTTCAAGCTCACTGGCTGTTCCTTGGAAACCCTATACAGGGTCACTATGAGTTGGAACCGACTCGACGGCAATTCACAACACCCTACTCATATTAACTTAACTAGTATTTCCAAACATGATCATGTTCACAAGGGCAAGGGGTTAGGACTTAAGTACATTTTTGTTTTTGAGAGGATGAACACACAATTCAATCCATAGCAGGTCTGTAAAGATCACCAAAAACAGAGTGTCCCAAATTTATGCAAGACCCCTGGTGCAAAAGCAGAAATTTTACCAAGTCTTACAGTTTTTCTTACCGTGTCAGGGGAATTTTGCACATTACACTGAAATAAGCCTGTTGACTTGAATGTAAAAATGTGTGCTTCCTGTCTCTTGATGCACTCGCTCTGACACCGTTCTACCAGAATCCATAGCAAGAACTGTTCTAGCTAGAAGGGAAGCATGTGGGGTCTGGGAGGCCTGGGCTTAGGTGTGTCTGCTTGGGGAGCAAGAGCTCTTCTGGGTTTGGAAATGGCCCCTGCCCCTGCCTGATCCTGTCCCTGACCTCCCGTAGGACTTCGTATTTGAACAATTGGAGGACAACACAGCTGTGGCTGCCGTGGTGCCGGACGTTCGGAATCAGCCCCCAGTAGACCAGGGGGCCACTGGGGCCTCACAGGGCCTCCTGGACAGGAAAGAAGTTTTGGGAGGTGAGTTTTCCCACAGGTGGGTTGTTCTCAGGGTGAAGCAGCTACTGTTAGTCCTGTTGTGGCACCACCACACTATAGCCTGGGCCTCCTCCTAGGAATGCTCAGTGGTGGAGCCGTCCTGCTGAACCCAAGTAGCTGCTGAGCTGAACTGTCCTGTCTGCTTACTCTAGGGGTCATTGCCGGAGGCCTTGTGGGTCTCATCTTTGCTGTGTGCCTGGTGGGTTTCATGCTGTACCGGATGAAGAAGAAAGATGAGGGTAGCTACTCCTTGGAGGAGCCAAAACAAGCCAACGGTGGGGCCTACCAGAAGCCCACTAAGCAGGAGGAGTTCTATGCCTGACGGGAGATGGCCCTTCTCCCCCTCCCCACTGCCACTCACTAGCCCCCCCTTGCCTCTTCCATGAAGAACTGCAGGCCATGGTCTTCCGTGCTGCGGTATCACTTCCCAACACTCTGGACTACGCTGGCTTTTCCCCTGCCTGAAGAGTCTGAGGGTTGCTGGGGAGATCTACTTTGCTTCTCTGACTTCTGCTGAAAGACTTGGGGTACATACAAGGGGTTTCTTGCATATGACCTTTCTACCACAGCCAGAACTTGACATCTCATCATTCTGACTCCGTTTCTCCAACCTGGAGCTGTCCCTCCTCAAGCCCAGCCCTGGAGAGATATGGAACACTGCTGCTTTGGAGCTGGATGGCCTGCTGTGGCTGGAAGATCCTGTGGGTGAGGGTTGCTTACTGACACATCTACAGCACTTACAGCACAGACCAACCCATCTGTGGGGTGCTTACCACTGAGTGGCAGGGGTGAGGAGTTCAGGACTGTCAGCATTCACTTTGTTTTGTGGGGAAAGTTTAATTTAGATATCAACTTGTTTTTGCACATACTTCCTATAGTTTCTTTGTTCATAGCCCCGGTAGACTTTGCTACTTCTGAGGTAAGTAAGTTGATTTGTTATCTTGCATCCCTGATCTACCATCAGAAGGTCAGAGAAGCATCAGGGCTAAAAAGACCTTTTTTAAAAACAAACAAACAAACTTTGAGAACCAAATCTGGAAGCCAGTGTTTAGGCTATTTGCATGTTGTTTCTGAGTTCGTCACTTGTGTGTACAACAGGGTTTTGTGGGCTCTGTTTGTGGGCCAGCCAGCCCAGGCTCCCACGGGGCAGTTGCCTCTTCTAAGTAGACAAGTCTATCTGTATGCATGGACTCACGCCTACAGCCAGGACCTGGGCTGCTGGGACGTTGGAAGAGCCTGGTGTGAGAATTGGATCCTGGTAGCTCAGGTCCAGGGTCCAGGGAGAGAACTGTGAGGTTGGAGTGGGGTAGTGGGCCCAGGGAGTACCCCTGCAGGCCATGCCCTTCCTTCCTTTGGGGCCATCTTTGTGGGACACTTTTCTTCTGGAAATTGACAAGAGGGATCTCAGGGACACCTGACACTGAGCTCCTCAGTGAAGGACCAGGCTTACCTTGCTCAACTCCTGTGGCCCTACCCAGGGCTGGAAATCAGGACTGTTTTCCAAAGAGTGATTGATAGTCTTTTGCTTTTGGCAAAACTGTACTTAATCCAATGGGTTTTTCCCTGTACAGTAGATCTTCCAAATGTAATAAAACTTTAATATAAAGTAGTCATGTGATCTCTAATGCCTTTGCTGCTTCTCTTTGTGTGGATAAGACCAGCCATTTCTCTAAATACCGATGGTATTGGGAAATTTGGCCCAAATCTCTGTGCCTTCAGCTTTCCCGTGGTGAGGGATTCTGAGTACAGAGTCCCTCTGATTTATATTTGTTTTCTTTTTTTGTTTGGGCAAAAAATTTTCTAGAGGCCAGTAGGTTCAGCCAAGGTTATGTAAGATCTGATGTAAATTTCTGTGTTGCCAAGCTCAAAGCAGCCACCTTCTAAATGGCTAACAAAGCTGGAGGGTCCTAGCACAGCTTGTCCTGAGGCCACTGGTCCTGGCCTCTCAGACACCGTTGGACAGTTCTCCCACTCTCCTTCTGCACCTGCTCCTTTGCTGATACACCAGAGGCTCCAGCCCAGGGCTCTTGGAGATTTCTGTACTTGCTTATTTAATTTAACAGCATTCCAGCTGCTCTGTGGGCTGCGCCGTGTAGTGGGCCGGTCTGTGACTCAGATGCACCGTCAAGCAACGGGAACCCATGTCCTGCGTTCAATCCTGGGACTTTCTGACCGGAGCATGTGACTGGACACGCCTGCCGGGTGGGGGAGGGGCCTGTGGCAGTGCTCATCTTTGCTGGTCTAAGGGCCCAACAGTGTAATTGTAATAAACGGTACTTGTCATTTCTGGCAACATACACTGGTGGTGGTTGAGTCTCTTCTAGGCCTGGCAGTGCCTTACCCATGTCATTGCCTGGATCTGGGTGCACTAGTGTGATGAATACCTGCAGAATTAACAGTGGAAAGGCAGGTCATCTTTGCCTTACACTCTCCTGCCCACCTACACTCCTCCCTCCTCAGCAGGCCCTGATCCTTCCACAAGGACGCTATTGGTTTCCTACTAAATCCCACTTGTTCATGATGTATTATTTTTTGGATATGTGGTTGGATTCTACCCTCCTGACTCAAAGTTTGCTCTCTATTCTGCCTACTCTTTGTGCAATTAAGGAGCTCTGGTAGTGTAGTGGTTACGAATTGGGCTACTAATCTCAGGGTCAGCAGTTCGAAACTACCAGCTGTTACACAGGAGAAAGATGAGGCTTTCTGCTCCTGTAAAGATTTACAGCCTCAGAAACCCTGTACAGGGTCCCTATGAGTCAGACCTGACTCCACGGCACATAACAACAACAGCAACATTGTGCAACTTAAATATTCACTCGCAATTTCAAATGCCAACAGTCTAAAATAATTGTCTGTATACTAGGAAGAAAGTACATTGAAAGATTTGGGGGTTGAAAAGGCTAAGTCTGATGCAGGAACCCTATGTTCTGAGGGCACTGAGCTGCCCTCCCTTTATTCAAAGCTTTGTGCAGACTGGTGATCTCAGACCCTCAACTGCCAATGCTCTCTCCACCCAAGGCCCCTGATGTCCACCTCACTCTCTGCCCTTCAGTCCAGGCCAACTCCAGACACACGGCCTTGGTATGTCCCAGGCAGGGACTGCCAGTTCAGGACAGCTTTTCAGCACTGAGAATTTTTTCTTCTGACGCATGGTGCGCCATAGGATATTAAGTACCATTGAGTCGGTTCCGATTCATAACAACTCTGTATAGGGTTTTTGAGGAGCAGCTAGCTGGTGAGTTTGAACTGCCGACCTTGCAGTCCAAACTGACCTTGAGGTCAAGTGCTTATCTTCCAGCACCACACCAGGACTCCAAAGGGTATTTTGTTTTGTCAACTTTGTTAAGTACCGTGGAGTTGGTTCTGACTCATAGCGACCCTTTACAGGGTTTCCGAGGCTGTAAATCTTTACGAGAGCCAAATGCCTCATCTTTCTCCTGCAGAACAGCTGGTAGTTTCGAACTGCTGACCTTGAGGTTGGCAGCCTGATTCGTAACCATTACACTACCAGAGCTCCTTTCCAAAGGGTATGGAGACCAAGATAAAGTCCTCCAGATCATTCATTCAACAAACTGGAAATACCAAGTGCCTCTATTTTGCCAGTCACTGGGCTGACCAGTGAGGGCACAGATGTAGCCCTGGCCACCCTAATATTAGTACTTTTACTGTGCTTACTGTGGACCAGATGCTATGCTAGACATGATATTTGCATTCTTTCATAGACAACTCACAGCTACGTTTACCATCTATGAGACTGTAATGCCATTAATTATCCCCGCTTTACAGACAAACTGTGATAAAGAGGGGGTACCTCTTGCCCAGTATCACATGCCAGGAAGTGGAGCTGGGAGGTGGGCATTGGCTCCATAATCACAATGAGCTGTGTGGCACACTGATGATGATATGGGAACTTAGGAAAGTCCCCTTTGTGTGGGACCTGCACGGTTCTGAATCCCCCAGCCTCCTGGACCTTCTTCTGCCTAATAGCCAAAGAGATTAAACCTCCCCACCCATCCTGCTTCTCCTGACCCGTGTTTGTATTCCTATCCCAAATCACTCCCACTCAGAGCACTGCTGAACAGGCTTGTACCATAAAACAAACTGCTTAACACTCAAAGGAACAAATCTCTGCAGTTGTTTTAAATACCCTTAGGTTCTCTCAGGCATCCCTGCTACAAGGAGTATCTCCCTGCCCAGCATCTCGGTCTCAGCCTATAGCCCTGTTTCCCACAGCCTTGACCCCCTTCACCCCGTCTTCACTTTCCCAAGACTCCCTCCCTGTCTCTGCCTGGGAACAAAGCAGTTGTGTACTATTTCATTTCTTCCTCACCTTCAACAATGCCCAGGATATGGCCTGTGTTTGGGGGGGTGGGGTGGGGAGTGGGGGGGCGGGTGGAGGCAGGGGATGGGGTAGGAATGGGACACTCATTGAATTTTGCACTGAGTTCTTCAAGTTAGTTTTTAAACTAATGAGCCATCGTCTGTTAGATTGATTATATCACACTTTCATTTTAATTATGTCACATTTTAATAAAAGTCAGTTTCTGTTTTAAATGGCATTTTGCCTTGCTTGCCTCTAGGGTTTTGCTTCAGATATCACTACATATTCATATCAAGATGAATGATCATCATATGAAGAGATGGTGAGGAGAGAAAAGACAAGGAAATACAATCTCAATGATAGAGTGCTGCGAGGGAGGGCTTGGGGGGTACTAGGGGTGGATGGCTTGGGCTCTGGGTCATGGGTGGTGTCCAGAGTGGTACTTGAACTGGATCTGGAAGGAAAAAGTCAAATTAGACTGTCAAGAGAAAGAAGGCATTACAGGCAAAGGCTCAGCTTTGTTGTTAAATGATGTCGAGAGTCAGTTCCGATGGTTCCAACCTATAGCGACTCTGCATAAGGTTTCCAAGGAGCGGCTGATGAGCTTGAGCCACCAAACTTGTGGCTCAAACTGACCTTGCAGTCCAGCACATTAACCCGCAGCACCACACCTAGACTCAGCTTAGGCAGCAATAAAGACTGAGGCTACTTCACGTTGTATGTGAAGGGAAGGCAGACTTGGGAAGGGATACAGCTGGAATGTGGAGAGGCTTTGTGGATTACTGTGTCGGGCCACGATGTGGTATCTGGAAGCCCTGAAGAGGACTGCTAGAAAAGAATTAGGAATTGCAGAGGGTGGGGGATGGAAGGCTTAGCGACAGATTTGAGGCTGTTTAGAGATCTGGAGAGGTGACAGGAGGGATGAATGGGAGGGGCCAGACTTGAGAACATAACAGGTAAAACTGGCAGGACCTGTGAGGCATGTCCCCACCTCACTGGGC